GAAATATATATTTCTGCAAATTTATAAATGAAAAGTAAATTGGCTTTGCAGAGAGTTAATTTTTTCCTTACTCGATTTATATATGTATGTGTAAATTTTTGGAAGGAATACATCTATAATTCCGACTATGCGATTGTATAAAGGGTTTGAAGTAGTATTTATTTATTTATTTTTTTTCCCTAATTCACATTTTATTAACTCAACAAACTCCAACAGAGATCAAGACAAGGAGGGAGGGATCACTCCAAAAGAACTGATACAAAAATCATTTTTACTTGAAATGGGATTATATCATTTATACGAACATCAAGAGCAACTAAAACAGAGTTTGAAGGGAAAAAATGGATAAATCTGTGGCAAATCCATTTTTTTTCCTTCGAAGGATTTGGTAAAAATGGAGAAGAGATGAAACTTGTTGTCTAAAATGCCTCAGGGAAGAGAGAGATTAATCGTATTGACGTGAAGATGAGCGATGAGAGAAAAAAATTGGGTTGTGCCACGTATGTACTTTCTATATTTATATACTATATATACTATAAACTATATATATTTATATTATATACTATATATATTTTTATATTATATAATATATAAAAATATTTATATAATATTTATAAATATATTTTTGTATTAATATTACATAAATATATATTTATATTATATATGGTAAAATCCTGTTTGGTTACAAGCATAGTGTTATTTTAAATTGTGTACAACCATATTCAAATTAAATTTAATATATATAATTTAGCCAAACATGACTATTGAATGTAGTCAAACATAATTATTCGAGAGTAATTTAGGTATTATTGTTTATTTTTTATGATGTCGTAAAAAGTGTCTTCAACCAGCTTTGACTGGTTGACCAAGAGGGAGATTGATTTGTAGCCGAAAAACATAAAGAGTCTGATTGAATTTTTATAATGAGTACTGATAGGTCTTTCGATTTCAATTGTCGACTTTTGCTCTGAATACAACGTGGTTGGAAATAAGTCCAAGAGAAAGAGATGTTTACGGGATTGTTTTTTAAGAGTTCCAACGTGATCCAACCAAGTCATATTCGAAGGAAGAGTCGGCAATTGAGATGGGAAGACCTATCATTTCTCTTTTTATATATATAAAGAGGTCTCTTTAAAGAGTGAACAAATCACAGGAATCTGACTGAATTAAACCCATTAAGAGAAAAACTTTTAATTCACTATTAGGAAAAATAAATACTAGTACAATAACATATGTGTATTCCAGGTCTCGACTTTTGAGCTAACAAATTTACAAGTTACCCCTTAACCTCTTTTAAGGTTGAAATAAAATCCCTTAATAATCTTCCCAATTCATTAGCCATCAAGAAAACTTTGAGACACTCCCAAATTCCTTCTCCACCCTCACTGACTGCCACCGCCACCATCATCGTCAGCCTCACAAACGTCGCCGGAGCTCCGGTCAGTGGGATCTTTCTCTCTTTTTTCTTCCTCATCGTTGTTCATATTTGACAGATTCATTGTATTTGGCACATGATTTAAGGGTTTGTGCCATTACTCAATCTTTTTCACCTTGGTTGATTTGTGTTGATTATGATTCTTAGAGTTCAATTGAAGTCACATGTGATTTGTGTTAGACAGATTCGTTTTCTTTCATTTGAATTTTGATTAATAGCGGAAAAATTAAGGGTTTATAGTCTATCACACCTTTACAAATGGTTATGTAATTTTATTTGGAAACTATTTATATCATTCTTTATATCTTCTGAGCTTGCTTTAATTTGAAAAAAAAAAAATAAAATAAAAAATCTTCCAAGGTGTGGATGCAATGAATTTTACAGTGATCATAGATGATGTTGTGAGGTTTGGTGCAAAACCATACTATCTTAACAAACAACTGAATATGAGGGTATCTTGGGAAGAGTTCTACTCAAAGAATGGTTCTTGCTAGAATCACCTCCACCATCATTGCTATTCTCAAATTGGGCTTCTTACGTGATTGTTCCTCTTCGAGACGGATACTCTCTCGGACTGGAATCTCTCTCTTGCCAGCTGCCGTCCTTTACCGAGGCCGTCGGACTGATAATTGCACCGGTTATATTCTTTGTTGGGCCTTGTTTAGGCTTTTGTTACCATCTTTTTGGGTTGTTTTGATCAAATGGCCCACCTCTTGTAATTATTCATATTATATATAACAGTTGCTTAAAAAAAAAAAAAAAAAAAAAGATATCTTTTGATGATGTGAAGGTCACATCAATGTTGGGTGATCAGTCGAAGTAATGTAAGATCCAATATTCCATGGAACTGAAAGTATCGGCCCTATATAACTTCAATTATCGGCCTTATATAACTTCAATTAATTAATTAACATATTTATTTTTATAAATAGTAGAAAGCTCTTTTATTAGCTTATTATGTCACCTATTCCATTAAGATTCTATTTTACAATATAATTCTACCAGTTATTTATTATTATTATATTAGGGAGGGGACACAAACACAATGAGATCGTTATTGACTAATGTGGTAACTTTTGAACAAAAATTTTAAGGGCCTAATTCTGGTTCAATAAAATTTCTATCATTCCAACCCAAAAAAGCTGCAAAAAGCAATAAATAAAGTGTCTGATGCTCATAATTTGTGAATGTCACCCACCGTTCCAATTCATCATAAATCAAATAACTTTGAAGTGTTGGTCCAACTATGGATTCACGTTCAAATATATTAAAGCCAAAGTTAGATTGAATTTTATTTTTATTTTAAAAAAGAGCACGGGCACTGAATCTACATATAGGTAATACCCAGTCTTATCCAACACTTCTCTGCCTTGGTCATGCATGGGTTTGAAGCTGAACATAATTATTAAATGAGAGAGAGAATCGTTGGGAGGGCCAAAAGCTGGTCCAGGGCAGAAAGGTGCACACTAGGAATAATTTTGAACCACGGGACACTGCCGCGGATATTCAATCACACATTTCGAATAAGTGGTCAATTTCGAATAATTGGCCAACACATTTTGAATAGTTGACTAATACATTACAAGCTCTTCGTCTTACATAAAACAAATGCATAATCATTCCTGAACACAACATTATAAAAATATATTAAATTGCTCAACTTTTAACGACTAAAATTATAGTTATAATGACAAGATACGATAGTAAATGGTATATCATATAGTAACATTTTTTTTTTTTAATATTTGAATACTGTCATATTCTAACTTTATGTACCTTTAAAATTTATAAATTAATTAAAGGTCAATGATTATCTGATTATATTCAAAAGATATATAAATGAATTTTAAAAAATTTAATTGACTAATCAATATATTCGTGTCGTACTGTGTTGTGTCTGTATTATAAAAAATTAGAGGATATGAATATATGATATAGAAAGAAATTAAGAAAAAGAACCAATGAAGTGATACTGTAAATAGTACAGTTAGTAGCTATATATCAAAAATATTTTAAATGAAAGTTCTGTTATCCATATAGTAAAGGGTAAAGTGCAATAAACCCCCTGAATTATACCCCAGGTGCAACAAACCCCACTCAACTACAAATAACCCCCCCCAAACTATGAGTTTAGTTAAGTTTTAGGACAGAGAAAGTTTTGCCGGTGACATCTTATAATCGGAAATGTGTAAAGACCATTTTATCCCTTCAATAAAACGCATCAATATAAGTAATAAAACAGATAAAAAAAATATAAGTAATAAAATTGTTAAATTGATGTGGGACCCATTTTTATTTATGGAGGCAGTGAATTAATGATTGACACACATTCACCCTTATCACTGTAATTGACACTTTTATCACCAACCACCATTCATTCACCCTATTTACGGAGTACAATATCAACAGAGGCTTTCATATATTGAATACAGAGAGATAAAACTTTATTGATTAGGATCAAATTCGTGCTTTCGTTCGATCTTCAGTCTTGATCTTCAAGGGTTACTCAGTAAAGCTCTAAACCCTAGCACATTAGTTTGTTAATATTGATTTAATATGCCAAAAAATGAGTAGTGATTTACTAAATTTTTCTAAAAATTGTTCTATGTTAGGGTTTAGTATGTTAATCCAAGATGTTTGGTTTTATTTGAATTTTTTTTTTTTTTCACCTATGAAAGAATTTTTTTTTTTTTTTTTTTTTCCTGAAAATTTAAGCGACTGAAATATATTAAGTAAAAATTGCAAAAAAAATGAGTAGTGATTTACTAAGTTTTTGTGAAAATTGTTCTATGTTAGGGTTTAGTATGTTAATCCAAGATGTTTGGTTTTATTTGATTTTTTTTCCACCTGTGAATGACCTGTGAAAGATTTATTTTATTTTATTTTATTTTTATTATTTTTTTTTCTCTCTCTCTCAAAAATTTAAGCAACTGAAACATATTAAGTAAAAATTGCAAAAAAAATGAGTAGTGATTTACTAAGTTATGGGCGACATAAATTTGATTGTGTATTTGCATATGTTGTCACTTTTAGATTCTTCCATGTTTTGTTATATAGTGTTGAAAGCATCTACTTTTAAAGTTCTGTACCAAAAGCTTGTTCTTTTTTGCATCAGACATCAATAATGTTTTTAGTAGGCAGCAACTTGGTCATTAGTGGTCCCTAGTAAAATCATTTGTATGTTTGGATTGTGATTGAATGGTCTTTGTTGTGTATTTATTTTAGGTCCTTTTCAATTATTGAAGTGTGGAGTTGCTATTGAATTTGTTACCCCGCGATTGAGTGGTCATGCTGAATGTAGTTTGAATTTTTTTTTTTCTTCTTTTTTTTGAAACTGTCCACTTGTAATGCACTTGTGACCATTGACCCTATCCTACACTTCAAAGTTATTGTTTGTCTTTATGCACCTTTAAAGTGCTTGCATTTAAGTCACTCTTTTTTTTTTCTTTCCACTTTTTACTTCTTTAGTGTGTTTAAAGTACTTGCCTGTCTTGTACAAATTTTGTAGATGCACCTTTATAGTATTAAGCTTCGTTATGGAGGTCTTTTTTCAAAAACACCCCATATGACATACATAGGAGAAGCTACATCCTTCATTGAAAGTGTAGACCCAGACCTCATGACTTATACTGATATCCAAGAGATGGCAAATAATTTGGGATATGGGGATATCAAAGAAGTGTTTTATAAAGTACCATTCTTAAATGGTAATCATTGCTTCAGAGAGGTCAGATGTGATTTAGATGTTCTAAGGATGTTTTATGACTATGAAGCTCAAAGGGAAGGCAACCTGGTCAAGTTATACATTGTTGCACCTATGTTGAATCTGCAAGGGAAAGAAATTTCAATTTCAACACATAGTGCAGAAAATGAGGGCTTAACTTCAACTGATGATTATGCACAAGTTGAAGCAGATTTTACACAGGTTGAATTTGATTATGCTCCTACTGATGAGTTGATAAGTGCATGTGGATCAGATGATGATGAGGGTAATGGTCCTAAGCACCAAGAATTTATTCCTTCAAAAAGAAATAGCAGTGGGCATGAAATTTGCGACAGCTGCAGATTTCAAACTAGCACTTAGAGAAATAGCAGTGAAGAAAAGGTTTGATTTGAAGTTCAAAAGAAATGATGGGGATAGGATTTCTATAGTATGTAAGGGGGGTTGTGGTTGGAAGATATTTGCAAGTAAGCTAGACGATGAGGATTGCATAATAGTGAAGACATATGTTCCAGAGCATAATAACTACCTTTGGTTTCATACAAATGGACAAGCCACATCTACCTACTTAGCAAATAAGTATTTAGAGCAAGTGAGATTTAATCCAGGCATGCCAACAAATACACTTAAGTGTACTATTGCAAGTGAGTTGGATATTGATGTGTCAGACTACAAAGTAAGAAGAGCAAAGAGAAAAGCTTTAGATGTTGTTGAGGGAAATGAAGTAGTACAATATGAAAAGATAAGGGAGTACGCTCATTTGATATTTACATCAAACCCAGGCAGTGTAGTTAAAATTCAAACTGAGCCCACAGCTGAAGAAAATGTGAGAAAATTTCAGAGGGTTTTTATTTGTTATGCTGCAATGAGAAAGGGTTTTAAAGAAGGGTGTAGGCCACTGATTGGTGTAGATGGTTGTTTCTTAAAGGGACCATATGGGGGTCACCTTCTCAGTGTTGTATCTATTTATGGAAATGAACAAATGTTCCCAGTTGCCTTTGCTGTGGTTGAGTCTGAGACAAGGGATTCTTGGAATTGGTTTATGTCAGAGCTCATGGATGCTGTGGGGCCTTACCAAGAAATCACATTCATATCTGATAGACAAAAAGTAAGTATATTTAACATTATTCAGTTCATATGTGGTTTAAAAATTTTGTTAGTTTAGAATTGAAATATTTTTCTTGTGAATGCAGGGTCTGGTTGACACTTTTGAGAACATAATGGATGGGTCACACCATAGATACTGTGTGAGGCATCTATATGAGAACTTCAAACTCAGGTTCAAAGGGCAACAACTAAAAAATGAGTTGTGGGAAGCAGCAAGGTCTTTCACAGAAGCTGATTTTGATGTACATATGAGGAATATTAAGGTGTTGAATGCTGAAGCTTATGGCTGGCTTCACAATGTGCCACCTGAATTATGGTCAAAATCAAGATTCACATATCAATCAAAAAGTGATATGGTGATCAATAATATGTGTGAGAGTTGGAATGCTATCATCCTTCAAGTAAGGGATAAACCAATTATATACATGTTGGAGTGGATCAGAAGACATTTAATGTTGAGGTTCCAAAAGAAAAGAGAATGGATGGAATCAAAGGATGGTTTATTGTGTCCAGAAATTCAAAAGAATTTGAACAAAGTGAAAAGGCAAGCAAGGATGTGCAAGGTTCTTTATGCTGGTCATAACAAGTATGATGTTGAATGCTTTGGCATTGGCGAGACAGTAGATCTTGAGAAGAAAACTTGCAGTTGCAAAATATGGAATTTGACTGGTATACCTTGTAGGCATGTTGTAGCATGCATATTTTTAAGGAAGGACCTGCCTGAGTCATATGTTGATCCATATTATTATAGGGAAACATACTTGAAGGCCTATTCTGGTTTAATACATCCTTTCCCTATAAGACAGTTGTTGAAAGCACAACCCTCCAACCCATTGCTTCCACCAACCTTTAGGAAACCCACTAGAAGACCAAAGAAGGCTAGGAACAAGAAAAATGATGAGCCCAGTACTTCAACTAAGCTTAGCAGGTCAAAGCAACAGCTGAAATGTTCAAAGTGCTAGGTTAAAGGTCATAACTCAAGGACTTGTAAACTTTCTGCACCTTTGGTCATTGAGAAACCTTCACCAAAAAAGTGAGGTAGACCACCAATTATTGGCAGAGGAAAAGGACAACCAGTGAGAGGAAGGGGAAGGAGGGGTGAAAGAGGAAGAGTTGCTAGAACTGAAATTCCTACTACAGTACCTTCAAATCAGAGTCAGGAGGTACATTTTAATTAATTTTTTTTTCTTTTTTCGGTAAACATAGTTCTTTGCTGGTGTTTTCCAAATCTTCTCACATGTGTATGTTCATAATAGGTTCAAAACATAACATTTTCTCAGCTGGCATCAACACAGGCTTCATTTTCTAGGTGTGTTTCATTATTTTTCTTATTTAGGTAGCTACTGAAACTTGTTTAAATATTGAACATGTGTAATTTATGCTTTCACAGGTCAATGATGGACAATGACTATGCTTGTTGGTAGTGAAGATGGTTACAGTTTTTTGGGTGGTTGATGGTACTGAACTAATGGCTTTTGTTAACATGAATGACCTTTAAATTATTTTTTTGTCTTATTGTTTATGTTGACAAGAAGAATGACCAAATATTAATATTCTATTAATTAAGTACTGATGACTGGGATATGGAAACATTAAGATTAATTTGGTTATGTAATAAAAGTTCAGTATCTTTGAAGACTGTTACTTAATGTTTGTGTTGTTAAATTTTATGTTTGCTAGTGCACTATGCGAATTAGTATTGTGACTTAATATTTGTGTGTATCATGTGCAGGTGGTAAGTGAATTTGATGAATGATATGTGCAATAAAGTGTACTAAATATAGGATATATGAGTAGTAGATTAGTGCAGTAGTTACTTGGTGTATATATGTGCAGGTGTTATGTGCAGAATATATGTGTAGTAGCTAAGTGCATGTAAATTGTTCTATTAGGTCAAATTACCAGTTTTGGTTAGGTGCTATGTGCAGCAGGTCAATTACTCAATTAGGTCAAATTCTCATTTTTGGTCAATTGCCATGATCAACACAATAACTGGATGTGGTGTGATAGCCCAAGTTCAAATCCCCACTCCATCAAGTTAAGGACATGTATGATATGTGATGAAGAATCAAATTGCCATAATTGGCAGTTAAAACAGCATCATGAATTGTAAAGGGTGAAGCTTCAAATAGAAACAATGCGCAAATCTTCAACCGATCACCTTTATTAATTTGATTTGAGGCTAAATTTCACTTTCTTTTTTTGCCTGGGCATTGATTTATTCCTGTATAGCGTCACCAATAACAAACAGATTGAAAGTAACCCAGGTATATGCTAAATGTTCAAAGTCCTAACAGATTGAAATTAACTCAGGGATATGCTAATAGTTTAAACTGATAACATAGTGCAAGGAAGCAACCCACCATTCCCATAACTTGCAAGTACCCGCACTGCACTTAAAAAAGGAAAAAACCTGTATTGTTTTTGGAATCAGAAATGTACACGGCTACCTTTTCACGACAAAACATCTCCAGTTCTTGAAAGGACCCTTTTGAATACTCAAAGATGATTCACCAATAGAACTCAGTCTTTGTAAAAGAAAATACTACACATCAGTATATATATATATATATATATATATATATATGTGTGTGTGTGTGTGTGTGTGTGTGTGTGCGCGCGCGCGCCACATACACAACCAAAATTAAACTATGTATACATATATAAGAAGATATAGAGGAACTCATACTGTAAAAAAAAAAATACAAAATATAAATATTGTATATGTGTATATAATATAGAGAGAGATTGACACACAGAGAGATATAATACAGAGGAACCCATGTCCTCCATAGCTTGCTGGGTCACTACAGTACTAGCGACCCCATCCTCTAACATGTAGCAACCCAAAGGTCACTACCATCCATGGCGAAAACCAGGTCACAAAAACGACCTGCTCATATTCTGTCACAGCAACACAAAAATCGCCGTGGTGTTCCGATCAAGGCCGTCGCAAAAGTTCATGGTGTGGACGCCGCTCTCAGTTTGGTGTACACGCCGCTCTCGTTTGGTAGAGGGGAAATGGAAAGAACCAAGATGTTTAGAGAGATCCGTTCGAGAAGTTGGGCATGCAACCACTAACCCGCCGTTCGGTAATCTTTCACTTGCTGTTTCTGCTTTCTCCTGTTGTGCCAATTCACAACATGAAGGGATTACAAAATACACCCAAATCTTCAATCTTTGAAATTCACTTTTAGACTGTTCTTTATTACTCCTTTATTTTGATTGGCAATACGAATAGCTCTGCTTTTGTTCTTCAATGGGGATAGAGAAGAGAGAGAAAATTTGGTGAAGACTGAAGAGGATAGAGAAGAATTAGGGATTTTGGGTTGAATGGGTAACAATATGTATAATATAAGGGTAGTATGGTATTTTTGTATGATAAGGGTTAAATGGTCATTTAATTTAATTATAGTATTAAGGGACTCAATTTAACGGCGAAATTTTTTGCCGATGGTCGGATTGGGTAAATTGCCACCAACCTCCTAAGTTGAGGGGGGTTAAATGCTACCTTAAAAATTCAAGGGGGTTTTGTGCTCATTGGGGTATAGTTCAAGGGAGTTTATTGCACTTTACCCTATAGTAAATATATGCATATGATAGTGTAAAATAACAATTTGAACAGTTTGGATCGCTTTTTTTTTTTTTTGTTTCCCAAGAATCACGAGATATATAATCAAATAATAATAATAATAATTGAAAATAATTGCCACGTCACTTTTACGGTATATATATATATATATATATATATATATATATAATTCACACTGATTCCATGCACTGCATTGCACCGATCTATCTTCTCTCTAGCTGGAAGAATGAACTTTATATGAGTTAGGATATAACAATAAAATTTACTAAATTCTATTTATATATATATAATTAATTAATTAATTAATTAATTTTTTAAAAATATTATAAATAGAAAAGTAACATAATCTTTCAACCTCATCATACATTTACTATTTAATCATCTTATAAAAATCTTAAAAAAAAGAAGAGTAGTTTGCAAAAATGGAATATGATTATTATGTAGTTTCCATTATTTAAAAACCTTTGACACCTGCAATTTTTTTTTTTTCGAATATGAATTTAAAATTAACTCATCACTTCAATGATGTTGGGAGTCATTTCCTTGGATTTGGAGCTTGATTTTCCAAAATTAGGACAATTTCTCCTTCCAAGTTTTATTCTACCTGGTTCATTTACATGGGAAAAATAGAATGACCCAAAAGTGAATTCTATTTTTGTCCAACTACTTTCAACCCCTTTATCACTTGGACAATACGTCCCGGGCAAAATAACAGAAGACATGAATCAAGCCTTATTGCAGCCACCATCAGAAGCTGAAGTTCAACAGGTTGTGAAAAAGGAGGTGATTGGGGTCCGTACCTTCATTCATTCGGGGTACCCCTTTCGAGCTTGAATCATAAAAATTGCTTCACCTGGTCTCATTGCCTTATGTAATGTTGCTTACAAAATTATTTTTAAAATCATATTTATGTGTTTGATTTAAGGGCTTGTGCTATTACTTTCTCTTCTTCACCTTGGTTGATTTGTGTTTGATTATAATTCTTAGGGTTCAAATTGAACTCTCTGATCTGGTGTGATTTGTGTTTCGGTTTGTGTTTGAATTGTGTTTTGATTGATATTAGGAGACACCAAAAAAATTATGGTTCAAATGCTTATGTAAACATAATCTGACTTAAAAAAATTAGAACAAAATTGAGAGACTATCCACCAAGTCTTTCCTTGTACGTTTATTATTATATATATATACACATCTTTCTTGCATGTATCTATACATATATTCTTCTCTAAAATGCTCTATATTATATACTACAGCAGTTGTTATGTGTTATTATTAATTACCTTCATTCAAGTATTCCATTCTATGCGATAGATTAATTTTATCAAGCAATGGAAGATCAATGTCGCAGTAATATTATTGATTAAGTAGCTTTGGGCCATGCTAGTGCCGCCCCGAGCAAAATGAAGATGGCCGCCGTTTACACTTTCAATGTGGAAGCTCCACCCGTTCCCGCCCAGCACACCTCTAAACCCTCTAGTGTGCTAGCGCCACCCAAGTTAGACGCTGCAGCATACATTTATATCACTCTGGGAGCTACCTTCATCATTCTTGTGTACACTGCAATCTATTGAGACGGTCACTATGTACCACGCCCTCCAATCTTTCATCTTCGTTCACTCTCCATCAATGTCTCACTTGCATTCAACATGACCTCTAGTGTAAATACTACTGTGATAAGTTGGAATGGTGACTTTCAATGTTCGGAACCCTAACAGATTTGGGAAAATCATTGACGAACAAGCCATTAATGCTTCGGTCTTCTACAAAGAGGTCAATCTCTCGTCATCCACGCTACTATCTCACCTTTCTATCAGTTGGGGAAGGATAAAACATTCCTACAGGCTACCTTGGTGTCCCTGGCCAATGATGATATTTTGGTGGCAAATTGGTCAAAAAGTGGTGGTTTAATGAATTTTACTGGGACCATAGATGATGTTGTGAGGCTCGGTGCAAAACCATATTATCTTGACAAACGGCTGAATATGAGAGTCACTTGTGAGGATGTGAAGGTCGTAATTTCTTCTCATAACACAACGACAACAAGAACAAGGGCATCAATGTTGGGGATCGGTCCAAGCAATGCAAGATCCAATATTGCAAGAAATTGAAGTATCACTCTAAATAACTTTAGTTAATTAATTAATTAGCATATTTATTTATATACAGTAGAAAACTTTTTTATTTGATTGTTCTGTCACCTATTTCATTAAGATTCTGTTCTACAATAGAGTTCAAGGTTTTTGGTTTTCTTTCTTATATTTACTTCTTGTTAGATGTATATTATGGTTGAAAACTAAAGAATATATATATTTAAAGCCATAATCACAATTTTTGAAATTATTTTTTTTTTCTTCCTCTCTTGAATTATAG